ATTTCCATTTCTTTAGCCATGTTTGTATTGTTTGCACTTGCACTTTTCACATAGCACTCACAGCCCGCCCTCACAAGCAAATTGCAGCAACACAATCACACAGGGCGGTCGACCGACCGGACGACTGGGCAGTCGATCGACCACATCAATTTTGGGCATTTTCCTTCTTTGTTACAGGGCATTCATGAGACATTTGGGAGGACATCCAAAGGGACATCCGGGTGGACAACCGGCCATGGCTTTTTAGCCCAGTTTTGCTCCAGAAAATATAATAAAAAATATATTACCGTATGAACAGAACCTCAACAAATCAGGTGAGAAACTATAACAAATATAAAATGAATGGTTGGTACAAAGAGTCTGATAGAGCACGTATTTATAGCTTTTGCTCTCTACAATAGCTTCAAAGCCATTGTAGAGAGCCTGATGTGGATGCTCTAAGGCCACTAAGACCTGGGCGTAAGGTCCCCAAATTTTGACCTAAAATAAGGCTCCAAATTATTAGTTTTATATTATATTAAAAGTTCAAAACTTAATCTTTGTTTATTATTTGAGGCTAGTCTAAGGGGCTATTTGGAAGTAAGATTTTAGCCTACTTTAAGCTAAAATCTACAAAAAGACAAAATAAACTAAAATAGTTAAATATGACAAAATGTCACATCAAACTCATAATCATTTCACATTTTCTCTTACAAACATCACATCCAACTACAAAAAATTCAATCATCTTCCAAAATACAAAAATTTTACCTTACTAAAATAGCTAAAAAAATAGCAACTTCCCAAACACTGACTAAAAGGCCCCACAAAAAAAAATAAATAAATAAAAATAAAAAATTGTTTGGCTCAATTAAAAGTTTGTATAATTAGTCCAAAAAATATGTATGATATAATGAGTCCAAATAGAGCTTAATGTCAATATTTTAATAGAATAAATAACTTTATCTTTATTTTTTTATTCTCTCTCTTTATCATATTTTAATTGAATAATTTTACTATAATTTCTTTTCCTTAATTTTGTTTGCCCTAATTTTTTTTCCCCTCTCTTTATCATAATTTAATTGAATAATTTTGCTTTAGTTTTTTCTTCTAAAATTTTTCCAATAATTTGAGTTTTGTTATCAAATAATTAGTGGATTGTGATTTGTGTGGATTATGATTATATTATCAGATATCATATTACAATAATATAATAATTTCGTTATCAGATATTAGTGGATTATGTTATTTGTGTTAATTATTTCTAATTAAATTATAAAACAATTAGACTCTATTTTATCTTTTTTAAGTCTTTGTAATAATTTTTTCGCATCTTAATATATGAAAATAAATTTTAATAATTATATGTGTAAAGAAACTTTTTATAACTATTAAATAATAAAAAAAATATTGATAACTTATTATTTTATCCGCAATACTTTTATTAAAAAATATATGTAGAAAGGCTCCATTTTCAAAGCATGTTTCAGGTCCCATAAATCTGAGGAACAACTGTGGCGTTATCAAATACATTAGATCATCTCCAATGGTTCATCAGATTCATCACCAAATTTGAATTTGGTGAAAAACGGCACCATTTTTTATCTCCAATAGTTTCATCAAAATGATATCAAATTGGGAACGGGCCAAAACTTTCACCAAACTGAGAAGCTGGATCAGATTTCACCAATGTACTGTGTATTTACGTTGAAAGTGGATTCTACTGAACAACCGACCAGACATCCGGTCGATTATCCCACTGGTCGTTTGGTTTGTACAAAAAATGCAAAGTTGCAGTGTTTGGCGTACAAACAGCTTGAAAAGTTGGTTGATTAAGAATTGAACCTACCTGTCCCGACTAGGAAATAATTGAAATTTAGCATAATCAATTGGTGAATCAGAGTCCATTTCAGCCTCCATCTCAACCAACTTATCTATCAAGCACAACAACCCAAAGGGGGAATAAAAAATAAAATAAAATAAATCAATCTAACTGCTTCACTGGAACTCAAAACCACACAGAGATCTATATTATATAAATACAGAATTTTGGGGTTAATCTAAAACGAATCACCGTTGAAGATTACTCTGAATTAGGCTAAAAAAGCAAGAAAAACACAACTAAAAAAGATTGAAGTGAAGTGTCAGTGGGAAAAGAAAGAGAAAGAAAGAAAGAAAGAAAATTAGTTAGAACACCAAATAGAACACCAACCGTTGAAGATCAGATCTAGGCAAAGCAAAGCCCTATTTTACGAAATTAGAGTGATAATGTGAACTGACAGAATATCCATTGAAGATTACTCTGTTGGAATCTCAAGCACTCTGTTTCAATGTTCACGTGAAATATTCTGTCGCCAATTATGTATCTTTGGCAACTAAATTTTTGTTTGGTTGCTAAAAAGTGTCACCAAAAATGTTTTTTGTTGTAGTGACCCCCATTTTTTTCTTGAAATTCTCACTTCTCTTACCAAAACCCTAATTCACATCCACAGAATTTTCTGTCTCATTCTTACTCTCAGAATTATGTTCTGGATACATGTTTTTCTTCTGGTATAAATATTAATTTTGGCCATAAAAATGGCGGTTGTGATTGGAGATCGTTACCTCGAATCTCTGGTGAAGTTCGTGGAGAAGCAAGCGGGTGCCTTGATAGAGTTTAAACTTTTCTGATTCAGATTAAACTTTTCTGATTCCAAAACCATGAAAGTTGTACTTCTCTGAACTATGTCGGTCCTTGTCTACCAACATTCCATCGTTCTTGGCATTATCAACATTACCTAACATTTATAGATTGAAAATGGATTAGACCTTCATACAGGGGAAGAGAGCTACAACGAAAGATACAATTGAGATACCAAATGCAGTGAAGATACAGATTCATACATAAGAGAACTTACCAAATAGAAACATACAACCAATCATATATCCACAGGCTGCTTTCAAGTCTTATGAAGTTGCAGAATTTTCAGTTAAACTTGGCATATATGAACTAATTACAAGCAATATCTCTATAAATTTGTAAATCAGTCACATGTTGTCCAACCAAAACCTAGCTCAAATTATGTCATTATGGAATACTGATGAAATCCAAAGCAAGAGCAAATATCAATTGAGTAGGAGCTATCACTGCAATGAGATGTAATCCAAAGTGCTAACTTTACTTTCATGACTAAATTGAAATCAGAAGGACCTAAATCTTAAACTTGAGGATGCTTTTACTTACATGAAGGTCAAATTATGAGATATGTGACATTTCTAGTATAGCATTATAATGTTCTTAGGAAACATAATAAGAGTTTAACATTGGGATAATGAAATTAAACCACATCTTTAGTCCCTAGATTAAAACAAAATATAGCAGCAATCTCAAAAACATAGGGATAATAAATCATCCTTTCTTTGAAACTCTCATTCCTAAACTCTAGTTCCTTCCTAAACTCTACTAGTCTCCTTCCTAAACTCTTATTTTCTTTTCTCTAGTTCCTCTCTAAACCCACACATCCCACCATACAAACCCACTAGCATTAAACCTACAATAGCCATCACGGCCAATAGATAGATAGTAGCCAACTAACTTTCCAGCCTCTGATATATCCACAAACTAGGAATAGCGAACAACCAACACAAATATTAGAGAGCAGCAAAATTGGGAGCAGATCCAAACGTGAGACCAAAATAGAGATAATGTGGAGATCAAAGACGAGGCCAGCTCGATTAACCAGATCTCTTGCAGTATCAAGTCAGACCAAAAGATTTTGCATTAAAGAATACTAGTGGCAAGAATCCCAATAGCAAGAATCCTTAACCAACTTAACTAACTTTCCTCACTGCTAATAGAAGCTTACTAGCCTCCGATATATCCACAAACTAGGAATAGCGAACAACCAACACAAATATCTGGTTTCTACTCAATCAGAGCCAAGGTATAACACTGGATAAACCCAAAAGGAAAGAGCCAACAAATACCTAACAGAAATACAATTTAATACAACCAAATCATTTTACAAAATTGGAAAACAAGGTTGAAATGACACAAAAACTGATTTCTAAACACTTCTTGAACAAAGAACCAAACAAAATTAGCACACACGCTAGCGCACCAAAAAAGAGAACTTGGGTAATAGCCCCAATAGGCTAGTTGGGGAAAATGGATCCAATAACTTGAAAAAAATTGAGAATTGAGAATTTAGAAGTACCAACCCCACACCTAGTCGACCATGGTGGTACTTTATTTAGGTTGAGAACAGCGATGAGATCCTCCCTATGTGACGATCACGGTCGACTTATTGCTATGAACATCAAGCCATTTGAACATCAAGCCAAATCTCTCATCTTAATGTCTACAAACCCTCGAAACTTTCTCCAACAAATGAGTACATAGCCCAATAATATTTTGTTCACCTAAATCTGCTAGAAATCCTGTTCAAGGCAGTTTCAAAAATGTTGTCCTACATTGACATGACAAAGTAGAAAAGGCAGCTTAGCCCAATAAAGATTTTCATTAGTGTCCATTTCAATGTGGATGCATGCTCTACTCTAATTACCTTTTACTATGCTGTGAAGCTTAGAGTCACTTAAAAAATAAACTAAAGAGTGATGAAAATTCAAATGCTAAACAGATGATCTTATAGATTCATTGCAAGAGAGAGTTCTTGCTACAATAAGAACAAAAGGAAAATTATTCACTATATTACAAGAAAGAAAGAGAATTGTTGAAGAACTCATTTAACCATTTAGGTGTAGTTGTTACCAATCAAGCTAACATTTTTTATTTATGGTCATCATTCAACTTTTTCTTGCATCTCAACCAACCATTTTAGCCTATTCCTCCAACTTATTTTCAATTTATATTACTCTAACTTAATCAACCAGCAACAAGAAGAACAATACATCAACAAATAAAGCAAACTAGCCAACTGAAGAGCATCATAGCAGCAGCTTGTTTTAACAAATATATTAAGTGAAGTGTTTTTAGTGATCTGAAAATTAAATTCTGAAAAGTATACTTACAGAGCAAGCTGTCAATAAAATTCCTCTGATGAACAATCATCTTCATCAACCTGCATGTCTGCCTTATCCTTGTGCATCCTCATAAACTTTTCAATCTCTTCAAACCTTTTGTTTTGCATTTCAATATTTCTAGCTTGCTCTTGTGTTACCAAGTTCTGGGCTGCAATTTGTTCTTGCTGGACCTCAGCCAAATTCTTCAATGACTCTATTTGTTCTTGTAGGCTCGAAACCACTTCAACATGTGCTTGTGTACTAACAGAAGATTTGGATGAGGATGGGTTTCGACCAACTCCGAAGCCCTTTATGTATCCTGATTTACTCGTTCCAAGAACTTCAATTGACAGCTGCTCCTGAGTTAAAGGTATTGCCCCAGGCTTCAAAGACTCTTCACGTCGTTTTTTCAAAGCTTCCTATCAATTTTTAAACAACTTTAACAAATATAACCAATTACATAAATATGTAATTATATTAATTGGAATACTTACATGTAATTCACCACATATTGGAGCTATCCAATCTGCCTTTCTCTTGCTCCAATGGGAATCTTTGTAGAAGTCTACAATGTCAACCTTCACAGTACCCTAATTCCATCAATTTAAAAGTAAGTATACATAATTAATTTTAACTCAATCACACTTTCAAATATATTAAATGTATCACCTCTTTATACATTGCAGCTTGAAATGACTTAGAGCCCATTGTATGATTATATGGTAATTTCGATCGACTATTCCTCCCTTTTTCAGCCAATTCCTACAAAAGTAAATGATTAGTAAAATTAAATTGAAATTGAAACACGCTTCTTTAAGTTATGAAATTTTACCTGATGATCGCTATTAAGCCATACATGATTAATCATGTATACCCAAGCCTCATGGTCAACCCCTTTGTATGGCTTAGTGTAAGGGTCAACACCAGCTTCTACCAACTTTGAGTAATGCGTCTTCATCTTGTTACGCCAACTTTTGTAAAGGGTTTTACACTTCTTGTCGATTGCTTTCCGAACCTCTTTATCCTCATCATAATCAACAATCTCAAATTTATCCTGCAAATATATGAATAGTTTTATTAATATTAAAATGTAAGTGAAGGTGATAATCTAACTATTTTAAAAACAACAAATACAAGTACCCGATCTGCCTGAATGATTGGGGCTTTATGAATCTTGTCAATCTTATCCCACTTACTCATGCCAATTATAGGTGCAGCCATCCTTATTTGCAACCCAACTTCATTTGCAAATGGAGTGGCATAAGGCCCTACTAGTACCTTGGCATCTGCAGGGACCCAAACAGGAAGTTTTTTGCCACCATTTTTAGCTATGAGATGCGCTATGCTCTTCCCTCGAGTCTGACCCCTTCCCTGTGTAGAACGGGTACGCAAAGTAAGTGTAGATGGTGCAGCCTGGGTAGTACCTTCATTTGTAGATGGTGCAGCCTGTGTAGTAGTTGCATTTGTAGATGGTACAACCTGAGTAGTAGTTGCATTTGTAGATGGTGCAGCCTGGATACGTCGAGCATTTGTAGATGGTACACTTTGAGCAGATGGAGTTAAGTTTGCTGGTGCATGTTCAATAGGGGCAGCAACTCTAGCTGGAGCTTGCTGAGTAGTTAAACCAACTTTAGATGATGCTGCGCTTCTAACTTTACCAGGGCCTGCCATCTACCACAACAACTCAACAATTACATGTGTGAAGCATATGTAAAATAAGCATTTACATTAACATCAATGGATGTATAATAGAACCAATATCAGCACATAGTGATAACTAAACAATAACATGGCATAAGAAACAAAGAAAAATGGCTTTGCTTGAATACCAGGCATCTAATCGTGAGATCTCCATTGTTATACCAGCTTGAAATCGAACAAGCTCTCCTGCATTCATACATTATATAACCCCGAAGAAAGTCAATGTTGTTTTAAACAATATACAACCTATAACTAGCGGCTCACATCCAGGTTGTTCATTGTGTTTACATCTCCATTTACTAAATACCATGTAGGACAGGACATATGATGTCAAACAGCTCCTAGTAATTCCTGTTGGATGCCTTGTATTAGACTTTAACCAATCCGACATATAGAACCAAATCGTATTTCAGCAAATTTAGACAAGGACCTGAAGGTATTGGCCAATTTGTGACAGGAGAGCCAACAATCCAACTGCCAATATCCTTTTTTCAAGCAACGTGCAGAAAGGGCCAAGAAACTTTTGTAGACTTTCAAATTATCCCATCAACCTTTGTATTTTAGTTGTAAATTCTATTCAACACATAAACATGGCATGATTTTTTTGGAAACAAAAAAGTATTTAATTAAAGCCACAAGCTTGCAACTCTGTATACATGTTCATATATAAATACAACAAGCTTTTATTTTTTCAAGGTGTATTTGGATGTCCCCTCAAATTTTATTAGTTTTATTGCACATCATGTGGAATCTGAAGTAAAAGTTGATCACCTAAAAAATTTAGCCATCAAGTAAAATAGGAGTCTTCAACCAATTCCAGTTATCAGATTTAGGTTCCAAAGTAATGCAGCAATCACTGTAGCAAGAATACCACCATCATTAAGTTCATGTGGACCAAGTCCATCACCGTCTGTTGCCAAGCCGCGAAGAACAACCTCAATGCAGTAATTGTCTATTGATGAGATAGAGACGCTCACCTTGCCATCAAGTAAAAATGTCAGAGACAAAAGATGTGTGTATATATATATATATATAGAGAGAGACCTAACTTAAAAAGCTTATGGGATGAAAACTAGTTTTTTTTTTTTTTTTTTTGAACTAGATGAAAACTAGTTTGGAAGAAGCAAATTTTACATATTACATAATTATATCCTACTCCTCATCAAAATATGTAGATTATACAGGACTTAAATATCAAGTGATTCATAAACAAATCAACTGATATGTAATGGTATTGTTTCAGGAACTAAAAGGTTTAATTTGAGTTGCGGTCAAAAGTTTTTAAAGGCGAATGCGTAACTCGAGAATTTTTTTTTTATTTTTTATTGGCACTGGGTGTCCGGATCACAGTCTGACTAATTCCCAAGGGTGCACAAGCCCTCGGCAAGGATCTTTCTGCAAGTGGACCACGGTTAATTCAAGGATTTTCCCCCAATCTGATAGCTCCAAGAAATTGTTAGCAGCTCAGAGGTTTCGATCCCTGAACCTTGGAGGGAGCACACCCCCAAGACCCAAGGCTTCGCCTCCAGGCCAACCCCTTGGGGTTTAACTCGAGGGGAGGCGTAAGCCTTAATGCGTTGAGGCATAAGCCTTCAAAATTTATATTTTAATATTTAGTTATTAAATCAAATATTTTAAATTACTAGATAAATAAAAAAAATTACTAAAATATAAAAGTGTAAATATTTTTCTCCTTAGATTAAACATTTCACTGTAGAGAAGGAAACTTGCCTTCATTAAAAGTGAAATCATTAGCTTTAGTGATTGAACTTCTCACTTAACCATTAACTGTGTTTTTTCTTGATTGATCATTTCCTCTTATAGAATATAGTTCCAAAAATGGTTCTTTTTATTTTTTGCTTTTTTTATGTTTGTTTCATCTACTAGACTAAGTTTAACAAGAGCCTAGGGGAACTTCTGCATATGCCCTCATATGCTTCTGCGCAAAAAATGTACAAGGCTTGACTATGATGCGCAACCCTTTGGGAAACATAGTCTAAAAATCAAAGCCTTGATATGTTTTACCTTAGCCTTGAGGCAAGGTGAACATTAGGGCGAGCCTCAGTAAAACCTTTTAATACTTTGGTTGTGGTATGAAACCCAAGAAGTAAGGAACAGACAACACAGCAAGTTCCAAATACAACCACAGTTGAGTCATGGCTAATTATCTATTTAATATGAAATTAAAAATAAATTATTGATTTTTTTTACATTGCAAAATTTCTATTTACTATATGAAATAATAACAAATACATCATGTTCTACATATAAATGTTGAAAAGAATTAGGAAGAGAACTTAATGTTTTGCTTTTAGAAGTCACAATTGACGAACAATTTTGAAGTTGTAAAAGTTCAAGGTTCTAAATAATAAAAAACCCAAATGATCGATAAATACATAAATCCATACTGCTAATTGTTCTTTGAACTTTTCAAAAAACCACATGTTCATACTTTATACACCAAATTCTATGAAGCACGGACACTTCATTTGACGTAACATATCAGTGTCCAACACGTCTGGTACACAAATATGTTCGGAGATGCGGCAGATATGTGTTGGACACACCCTCTCTTGTGTCCCATTTTTTGTCACTTTTTTTGGTTGTTGGACACACCTCTGACATTCTCCAGACATGCGTGTCCCTTTCTGGAACAATCCTTGGACACGATGATGGCTTCAAAAAAAAAAAAAAAAAAAAAAAATCACTGATTTTGTTCATGCAGCCTGCAGGAACCCTAGATCTACGATTCAAAGAAAAAGTAGAACTAATCATGCCAGCATAACCACAATTAATGTTAAAAAAAGAATAGGCAAAAGAAAAAGAAACGTACTTACCTAAATTCAGCTTAGTCTTCTTCAACAAATCTTTACTTTTTTATTAGGGTTTGTAACCTTTACATCTCACCAAATGGGCTAGGCTGCAATACTCTCTTTTTTGTTGGTATGTTGTACACATGTTATGGGATTTGTTGGGTGTTTTATTCTACATTTTCATCGATCCAATTCATTATGCAAGGCTTTGTATTTGGATCTTAGTTGCACGAAGCAGGGGTGGGGGAGAGAGAGCATATAGAAGTTTTTAAGGTTGGGAATGCCTATGGAAGCGTGTATATATTTCATACATTAAATGTATAAATATATTCTAACAATTAATTTTCTACGTAGACATAAAATATGTATTAAAATATGAATAAGAATTTGTGATTGATGTCAATTCCAAATTGTTTTTGTCAAGTATGAATACACATATTATATAAATAGAAAGTACTATCATTAGTTTTAGTTGTTATTCTTTTGTTTCTTTAATATTTGTATGTTTTTCGTTTCTATCTCAGTTGAGAGCTAGTTTCTTCCTTAACGGAAGGGAGTTTCTTACAAGTTTCTTACTTGGAAGCACAGAAACACGTTTCTCAATAAGAAGCGCCACCTTAGTATAAGTTTTCTGCTACTAAAATTTGGATATCATCAAGCCCATCATTTCAAAGGAAGATACGTGGAAAAGAAATATTGCAAACGAAAAAATAAATAAATAAACTAGTTTATTATTAGATAAAAACATGTCCAATAAAAAAGAAAAAAGCATAAAACTCAATATTAATTTAGTATTTTCGAAATTCATGAATATTGTAATATATATGGCATATAAAATATATAAAAATGTCTTTTCACGCGTCCATAGACATGTCGTGTCTTGCTTTTTTGAAAATCGTTGTGTTGGCAAATCCGAATCATGTTGTATATTTGTCACGTGTCAAGTGTCTGTGTAATAGATGGACCTAATCATGGATAAAGTAGCAGTGACCTTTGGAAAAAAGTGCACCTTAACACATTACCAGACCATCCCACTTAAAATAATGCAATCAAATTTGGCATATAGATCCTTAAGGCACAATGAAGCACAAAAGTGTAAAGCTATCCTCAAATTACCAAAAACTAATATACCATTTCATTTGGCTCCTATCCCTCTGAATCATATGACAGGACAAAAGGAAGCAACATACCATGAGCTGGCGATTTAAGACAACTTCCTCGCTTACTGAAGAATAAAGGGCACTCATTAGTGTTGCACACAAGGTGGCATCTGGGCACATACATTCACCAGAAGGCAGACAGAGCATTGCAATGGCATGCAATTCTAGGAACAAAGGTTCTACTGATTCATAAACATGATCTTCAGTGGGAACCAACCATGGATTTTCTTTTCCTAAAAAAGAAAATATATCAATTAATTCAAACCTGAAAGCTCAGAAGTGGAAGAACATAAAATGATGTGACCAAGTCAACGATCCGTAATAAAAACTACACAAATAAACATCGTGGCTAATCCAATGATCTCTACATGCAATGTTTGTAGCATATAGTTAAATCAACTCACTCAAGAGCAGTGAAAATGATGAATTTAGTGTTTCCTTAGCTGCGGCAATCGCTCTTTGCTTTTCCTCGACTGACAATTCAAGGGGAGAAACTTCCACATTCTCTAACTCAACTTTCAGCCAGTTGCGATAAGTTGCATCACAAGAGTAGTACTCGCTCTAATTTAATGAAACATTGTACAAACTTGCAGTCTTAGAAGTGATAATGTATCGAGGCCAAAAAAAAGCATAAACAACATTGAGTGCAATGAACAAATACAGATCTAAATAAACCATACCCAGTCCTGGAACTCTCTTAGGTTCTCAGAAACATCATGATCCTCAGTAGAAAGAAGAGTTTCAGTTGGCTGTTTCAAAGGCTCAGCAAGAAAACTTAGCAATGTGTGAGCACTTATGGGCATTGCAGGCACCCTCCACATGGAAATAAGAGCAAACTCCCTGAACAGTATGTTGCTACAATAACAATGAAAGATCAGTATATAGCAAGCCAACAAGATGAGAACAAGAAAATAGGTAGGTAAGAAAAATAGTAAAGTAATTAGTCAAGCATGTATAAGAATAATGCAAGAAGAGACCACAGTAGCAGACAATGGGAGAAACTAGACAAATTCAAACCACAAATAGATGGTAGAGCTTAATCAAAGGAACAAGAAAAACATGTTCAAAACCTGGGTTACCAGAAAACGCTAATACCCTAAAAAAAAAAGGAAATGCAATGTAGAGTAAAGGGTGAAAAAGAATCATATAGTAAGTGATGACATAGATATATACCTTTAACTAAATTAGGTATGTGTAATTTATTGACAAGTTGTACTAACAATAATAATTGATAAACAAGAATTACTATTCAAGTAAAGCATGCAATGTAGAGTAAAGAGTGAAAAAGAATTATATAGTAAGTGATGACATAGATACATAAATTATAATTGCTATATAAATTATGGTCTTCAAATTGTTACATATTAGTTTAGTTATTTTTGTAAAAGCATATTCATTTATTTTAGCAATTTGAGTTATTTATTTGTTGAGTTAGACATGGAATTGAGATTTTTGTAGCAAAACACAACAACCACCCCCTAATTAGCATATTTGGGCTTATCTTATTTATATATCAAATAGTTCCTTGGATCATCTAATTGTTTGTTATATCATGAATGCTCACAATAGTAAAACGAAACTAAGAATACAATAAGTGAATCCTAAGAATACAATTAAGTGAATCCTCTAATACCCACAAATTTAATAAAAAAGTGTCAAACTTCTCTAAATAAATTAAAAATGCCTTAACAAATAGTCAAAGATTACCTGATGTAGTAATTGCCCCCAACGAACGAGTGCAGTTTTTTTTATCTCTCTGCATTAACCGATAACCTATAATAATTGATAATTGTAAATCAAATTTTAAATTAAAATCGCACTATACATGAAATTAATGAAGAGATATGGGCATGAAATGAATGTCAAATAACGTATAAGGACACTCATGGATATGCGCAAAACAAACAATTCACCTACACACCTAAATAAATTATTATACTTCTTAAAAGGAGATATCATCCGTAAAAATATGAAAAGTGAGGTTCAATCAACATGTCCCAAAACACATCAATGCTTTTTGGTCAAACACAAGGAAAAGAAGATGGTGGATGCACTTATTCCACTTCAATGCTTTTTGGTCAAACACAAGGAAAAGAAGATGGCTTTCAACAAAAGAAGATGTATATTATTTATAGTATGTGTTCTTATAAAAATACAAAATTATTTTAATAAAACAATAAGTTAATAAAGCAATAATTGTAATAGCTTCATTGTATATTATCTACGAACACTGCCAGGTTTGGGACAGTGGTGTTCTACAGTGGGGTGTGAAATCTTTGTCTTGAACAAAATAAAACGGTATGAATGTTTGTGTCGGTTCGACCAATTAATAAAGTGTGTTTTTGGTTTGAATTTATTAAAAAAATATAAATAAAATTAAAAAGTGTGTTTTTGGTAGTAATATCAGCAAGGCTAGATTACATCATTAGTCTTTCTATTTTTTATTCTTATAATTTTAATTTAATTTTTACACTTTTAATTATATTATAATGTAGCCCATCTGACTGTGTTATCATATTTTGAATTAAAAAAATCATGTACAAAATTACAAAGATTAGAATGAAATTCAAAATAAATTATAGAAAAATTATATCATTAATTCTATAGTTTAAATGAAATATTATTCTAATTTTTATAATTTTAAGGAAAATTAAAGTGCTGTTTCACTTAAATTACAGGAGTAATAGTATCATTTGCCAACCAGCAACTTGTACTTGTACCCCAATTCACCCCTCATTCATGGGGAGCCTACCAAGCCATGTCGCTTCGGGTCAGCAAAGGGCTATTTAGTGTGACTTACTTTAAACCCATCAACATGATTTGCACTTTTCATTATGTAATAACTTTTTAATATATAAGGATGGTTTAGAATAATCTAAATAAGTATATTTTTTATTTTTTTTATAAAAAGATATGTAGAAATGTAAAGAGGTGATACGACTTAAAAACAATAAAATGATAAAAAAAAGTGTGTTACAATAGGTCATGCCAAACAAATTCATAATTTATAAACATAATTAAGTTGATAAGATGTATTGATAGTTATAAAATAATTAGGTTGATAAGATATATTGATAGTTATACGATTAGAGATCACATTTATATTAAAAACAAAGTGATTTTGAAAAATAATTCATTTTGAAAATAAAATAAAATTTTATTCAATCATCATGTGGTAATCAATGTTCGATCAATTTGATTTTTACATAAATAATATGCTTGACAAATAATAGAAAACGAACAATTTAGATAATCTTAATAGGTTTGGAGTCAGACCTAGTAAGAGTCATAGCAACCCCTGTTCTGTACAAAACACAACGAACACCCGGTTTCTCATTCAACGGCATGAGATTATGAGTCTCTAAAAAAGTGTTTCTCCAATCATCTCTTCTTATCCATGTTAGTGACCAAAGGCACTTTTTACTTCCAGAAGGGTATCTATATCTCCCACTATATACAGTATTAAAATATCATACAGTGGAAAAACATCTTCCCTCTCAATGCTCTATATTCTCAAACTGAGAAACATTCAACAAACTCATTCATTTTGGCCTCATTTTATGATATGTTGCTACTGGTCACACAATCAAAACATGTATTCAATGTGTGAATATGCATGCATGTGTACATGCTTGTCAATAATAATGAAGTGATTAGTTAGTGAACTTTCTGGGAAAATAAATCCTCAAATATGCATTTTAACTGGTTGCAAATAAAGCCTACTTTCTGGTTGCTCAATGGGGACATTCTCTTACTCTCTATCATATAACCCAATTGAAAGCCTAGTAGAGGGAAAGGGACTACATTCAGAATATTAGAGACAGAGAAGAGAACAGAGCAGAGACCCAAAAAGAGGGTCGCGATCTGCTGCTGATCTGCTGCAGCACTTCTGCTGCTGCCCAGCGCTGCTATGCCGTTGGCATTCGGCTGCGCGAGAAAGCAAGAGGGAGAGGGAGAGGGAGAGGGAGAGGGAGAGGGACTACATTCAGAATATTAGAGACAGAGAAGAGAACAGAGCAGCGATCCAAAAAGGGTCGCGATTTGCTGCCGCCGAGCACTGTTGTGCCTTTCGCATTCAACGGCGCGAGAGAGTAAGAGGGAGAAGGAGATGGAGAAGGAGAGGGAGAAGGAGAGGGAGAGAAGAAGAAGAGAAGAAGAAGAGAAGAAGAACATACCTGAGAAGTGCTTCCGCCGAGCACTGTTGTGTCGTTCTATGCTGTGTGCCGTTTCAGATGGATGAGAAAATGAGAAGAAGTTAGGTCAATTGGTTGTTTATTCACTTGTCAACATTTTTTGGCAATAAAAAAATTGGTAAAAAAAAAAATACAAATTAATTTGTCTTTAAATTATTTGTCTTTAATAATTTGGTAAAAAATAAAAAACTTTGTTTATTGATATAATTGTCTTTATAGAAATTATTTGTCTTTAATAATTGTATTATTTGTCTTTAAAAAATACAAATTATTTCTATAAATTATTTGTCTTTATAGAAATAATTGTCAAATTAATTATTTCTATATTTTTACAAATTTCTATACATATTATTTCTATATTTTTATAGACAAATTAATATATTGGTCCAAATTAATAAATTAATATTTGTATGGAAATATAGAAATTATTGTAACAATTAATATTTGTATAGAAAACATATTAATATTTGTCTTTATAGAAATAATTAATATTTGTATTGTAACAATTAATATTTGTATAGAAATTATTAATTTGCTACAAATTTCTATACAATTATTACTATAAATTATTTTTATCAACAAATATTTGTAACAAATTATTTCTATATTTTTGGCAAACTTTGTTTATAGGAATAATTGTCTTTATAGAAATTATTTGTCTTTAATAATTTGTCTTTAATAATTGTATTATTTGTCTTTAAAAAGTACAAATTATTTCTATAAATTATTTGTCTGTACCTGTAACGCCCTCAAAATAATAACATTAAACCCATCAAATAAGACATTCATTGACATATGAAATAACCACATTCTTCTATTCATCAGAGTTTCATTACAAAAGTATTACATGTTAACAACAAAAGCAAAATGCCTTCAGAAAGGTCACAACCAGAGGTCTTGTAAGGGTCCTGTCCATCACAAGTCCAAGCTTTTTAAGCCAACAAGAAGTAACTAGCAACAACCATCTTCAGCAACAACAACAACAGCAACTGCAACAGCAACAACAACTGCTTCATCAACACCAGCAACAGCAATAGCAACAGCTACAGCAACAACAACAGCATATCAGGTAACCTGAACCTCCAATTTAATTTCATTTTGCAATACATTCCACAACAATGACTTAATACAAATATAAATCATTGCATCCCAGAAGGAAGCTCCCTAATAAGAGGGCCAACACATCCTCATCTCAAGTAAGATCTGTCCACTTTGCATACTTGTTACATCATTGTAGCCCAGTTCTATTTTTAATTTGCATACTTGTTACATCATTGCAGCCCACTAGAATTAGCCACACATTTGAAGAATTTCCAAGTATGACAGGCAAGACATCAGCATCTCAGGTAAGCTCTCTCTCTGGATAGGTGTCATTTGGTTTTTGACATAGTTGACAACATATAATTGCTTACTTGGACCATTATCATTGCAGCCCAGTAGAGTTCAATATAGTTTTCCAGAATTTGATTACTCCTCATCTCAGGTATAGTCAAATT